GGATGTGAGACTGTATAGTATGTGATATGCTGGTGACTGAGAGTGGTGAGAGAGAGCTAGCTAGTACTATATATGAGAGATATATATATATAAGTGCTCTCTCTGTCTCACGCGCTGATGCGTGAGTATCTTAAGATAGCGGAGAGTGAGAGAGAGAGAGCTGAGCAATATATCCATCAAAATTATTTAACAACGATCTAAGACAGCGGACTAATGTGGCATCAGTTGTCTATAGACACGGACTACAACTCGCACTAGTAGACACATCACATGAGCACAGTACGAGCACACGAGCATATCGAGAGACGAGCGTCCACAAGCATTTTGAGCACACGGCGGGTGGGCAGTACGAGAGTCGGTCATCTGCTCTTGTAGATCGCATGTACAACGTATGTTGGGACTATTTATATATATATATATATATATAAACACATGAGGAGGGAGCCCACCTACTCATAATACAACACACATATACATACATAGTATAAATATATATATATATATATAATATTATATATATATATATATATTATGTGTGTATGTATTTCATGTACAACACACACACACACACACACACACACACACCACACACACACACACACACACCACAACACCACACACACACATAATATAGATAGATAGATGATATAATAATAGTAGTATATATATACACGCATATATATATATATATATATTATATACATATATATAATATATATATATATATATATAATATATATATATATATATAAAATATATTATATACACACTATATACATATATTATATATATATATATATATATATATATATATACATATATACGCACATATCATACATATTGACATGTAATAATATATATATATATATATATATATATATATATATATATATATATATATATACATATATACATGCATACATATATATTCATATATATATGTGTGTGTGTATATATGTATATGTATATATATATATATATAGTTATATAATATATATATATATATATATGTATATATATATGTATTCATATATATGTATTCATATACATATACATACATACATACATACACACACATTGCATGTGTGTGTGTGTGTGTGTGTGTGTGTGTGTGTGTGTGTGTGTGTGTGTGTGTGTGTGTGTGTGTGTGTGTGTGTGTGTGTGTGTGTGTGTTGTGTGTGTGTGTTGTCTGTGTGTACATATATATTGGTATATGTATATGTATGTATATATATTTATATTATTATATACATACATATGTATAATGTATCTGTATATATATATATATATATATATATATATATATATATATATATATATAATATATATATAGGAACATATGAAATTTTGGAGTATTTATTAAATGAGAGCTAAATATTTTTAAAAATCGTAGAAGACAGGAGGTTCTTGACAAGGCTTCCAAGACGACGAGGAAATCTTTACGTGAATGAGAGCGGTCCGCGGGTGGTTGTAGCTCCCCTCTCGCTTCGCCCTTGGCGCCAAAAGCTCTGATTGGCTGTAAGCGAGAGGATGCGTCCACGAAAGTTTCCTATTGGTCTAACTTGACCCGGACCTAGACATCAGCCCCGCCCCTTTTGGGTAATTGTATAACATCTCACACGCTGTTGGTGGATGCCGCAAGGAAGATCGTGACGTCAGCGTTATGCTTCGGGTATATAAGCTCATGCTGCCAAGCTTTCTGCATCCCAGTTGTGTGCCATTAGCCAAAGCAACGAAAGGTAAATCCAAAAATATTACTTTATTTACACATTACTGGGTTGGTAATTTTGTATATTAATCAAACTATTAGGATATATTAACGTAAATGGCATTCACTTTGGACAGTGCCACAACTAACACTATTAGCAGGCAGAGGCTTTGTTGATACTTCCTTGCAGTAGTTGTATTTTTGGTTTGTTTACTTTCCAAACAGTGCATGCCAGAAACTCGTGTAGCTTTAGTCACAAAGTTATCAATTATGTTTCTTGTTAGTCCTAGAATGAGATACAAATAGTCTCCCAGTACTAGTACATTATACACTACTGGCATGAAAACTGGTAACTTGCGAGAACCGTAATCATCCAAGATAATCATCACAAGTGCTCACACTCATCTCAGTGATGAGAGCGCGGTTCTTCATGTCTTTTTAGAATTATGAGTGTAAAGTTACCTGTTGCTTGAATGATGGTGGGTTAGTCACGTGTTCACGTCGGCGCTGCAAATGGGTACGTCATCACATTCCTCTTACCTCCAACTTTCATGTTCCTCAGAGTCAAAATGACTGCCCGTTTGTTCATCTCCCTGTGCCTTGTGGCCACGGTGGCCCTGGCGATGCCGCAAAAGCAGCAGCAAGCGAACACCGGGAAACAGCTGCAGGCCCAGCCGATGATGCCCATGAATGTAAGTTGGTTTCGATTTGGAGGACACAGAGACACATACGAACACATGTTCAAACACAAAAACACTCATACATTAGACATTGCATTCCTTTCATTACGTTGCTTGTGCTTTCCAGTACGACTTCCAGTGGGAGGTGAACAACGAGGAATACCAGAACTACTACGGCCACCAGGAGGCTGCTGTTAACGGCCGCGTTGACGGCTCCTATCACGTGTGGCTCCCCGACGGCCGTCTCATGAAGGTTGTGTATTACGTAGATGGAGACTCTGGTTTCGTCCCTACCATCACCTTCGAGGACGGCTTCACACCCAGCTGGGGCACTTCTTATTTCAACAGAAGGTAGATCTGAAGTGCCTGGACCCTTCTCAGTGGCGACCTCCTAGTTCTTCATATTCTGGAAAGTTCCTCTGTGTACGACCGCGGCAAGTCGTTGCACGCACACGACCAGGGGCAGCGGCGGGGGAAAACAACAGCGTGCTTATCTAAGGCGACTGTGTGTACCCCTGTTGGGCCCTGCCATTTGCTTTTGGTTCTTGACTGGGATGTTGTGGTGTGCGTGTGAACTGTGTCTCGTTTCGTTTGCTGACATTTGTTTTTCTTTTTCTGCACGATATTCATGCTATTGAGCAATACGAGACTGCATGCACAATTTCTGAACATCCGGGGTTAATTCTTTGTTTTTCAAATATCGAAATTACGGTGGTGTATTTCTATCAAGCGGATTTACTAAATAATGTAAACTACTGACAATAGTTTATCGGTATTTCAGATTCTCTATTATCTCTCTGTCAGAATGTAAATTCAAATTTTTAATAAACGTGATTGCAGTACTATTTTTCTTGTCGATTTCCCATTCAAACACGATAACAATATTCACCTCCATCTCAAACACACACACGCACACACACACACACACACACACACACACACACACACACACACACGCGCGCCGCGCGGCGCGCGCGCGCGCTCAAGAGAGAGACTTCAATACTGCTGCAGAAACCAATCCCTTGAGTGCGTTCTTATTCGGCATTTCTTGGAACTCATTAAGCTATCTTAAACATCTCTCGTATATTCTTCCATCCTATAATTCTAAGTCAACATGCCCCATGATACTCATGAAGTTCTTACACAACGTTCAAAATACGTACGTCAATGAGACCGGAAGCGCTCCACTTTCATATTCGTCGACCATGAACTCTAAAAACGTTTTTCTTGTCTTCACCCAGACTACACCAGCATGGTCTGATGGTTATTGTTGTACAAACGTTCCCTGTTTCTTGTATATATGTGTGACAATTCTCTCTCTCTCTCTCTCTCTCTCTCTCTCTCTCTCTCTCATCTCTCTCTCTCTCTCTCTCTCTCTCTCTCTCTCTCTCTCTCTCTCTCTCTCTCTCTCCTCCCTCCCTCTCTCTCATCTCTCTCCTCTCTCTCTCATCTCCCTCCTCTCTCCCTCCTCCTCTTTCTCATCCTCCTCCCTCCTCATCTCCCTCTATCCTCCCTCCCTCTCTCTCATCCTCCCTCATCCTCTCTCTCATCCTCTCCTCCTCTCTCTCATCCTCTCTCTCTCATCCTCCCTCCCTCCTCTCATCCTCTCCCTCCCTCTCTCTCATCCTCCCTCCCTCTCTCTCATCCTCCCCTCCCCTCTCTCTCATCCTCTCCCTCTCTCTCATCCTCCTCCCTCTCCTCTCATCCTCCCTCCTCTCTTCTCATCCTCCCTCCCTCTCCCTCCCTCTTTTTCTCCCAAAATTTCCCTTTACCTTTCAAATTTCCTTTCACTTTAAACAAATCTTGCAGAAATTACTTATCTCTTAATCTCTACTAACTCTTAATAGTAAATTAAACTCCTCTAATATCCATAAAACACTAAGTCCTTATTTGGCTCCTCTAATATACGCCTCTTCCTACCTAGAGTTTTTTCTCTAGTTTAAAATAACTCGACGATGGAAACCAAAACTAAGCTCAAAGTCCTACAGCTTCTCCTTACCTTGAGTTTCCACTTCGTCATAGTAGCACAAAAACTCCCTTCATACCGACATTTGTTTATAATAATTAAAAAAAAACATTCATATCCATATCTGACTGTTCACGGCTACGACCTCTTCTTGCATACACTTCCTCTTAATCATAATTATAACAATGATATCACGATTTTTTTATCTGAATTTTTATGCTTATTTCCTCACCTTTCCATGTGCTGCCTTTAAATCTGAATAACAATAATATTTTTTTACCTGACTCTTTTCGTGTCTACATCCTTTCCTTACCTGAAGTTGCCTTGGTCAAAATAACAAAAACAATAAAAAAAATCTCTCTCCTTGCTCTTTTCGCGCCTACATCTTCTCCGTATTGATTATGGTAAACAAAAATAATAACAAATTCTCTCCTCGCTTACGTGTTCTTAACTTTCGTCGCTTCTCGGTCATGATACAAAAATAACAACGTTCTCTCATACCTCTTTCCACGTCTAAATCTCCACCTCACCTTAATTTGCCTCCGAGTCATTATTAAAAAACAACAAAAAAAACTCTCTCCTCCTTACCTTAATTTGCCTCTAAGTCATCATTAAAAAACAACAAAAAAAACTCTCTCCTCCTTACCTTAAGTTGTCTCTTGGTCATAATAACAGCTGTCGCGTGTCTATCGAACTGAGGACGGCCCGCACGCCCGATCATCTGTAGGATCTGGCCGGTGGAGTATTCTTCATGGCCGCCCGCGCTCCCGTTGTACTGCGAGGTGGACTTCACTACCACGAGGTGCGCCGGGAGATTCACGCCCATGGCTGGAAAGGGGATGGGTGTGCGACAGTGATGCGTGGCGTTTGTTAATGGGCGCTGAATGGGTATGCAGATAATGGCATGGGTGTGAATGAATAATTCCACAATGGAAGATACACAATTAACGGCATGTCTTGAATTGCGGAATCAGTTATTCTCACCTTTTACGTTTGTTATCATGAATTCTGTTTTTTTTTTTGAATGGGTTTTTAGATGAAGTAGGAATGCATGATGGAAGAGCCGTTTTATGAGGATAAAGAGGTAAAAAAGTGGATTGCTAGGTGAAAAGAGGAATGCAAAGAGAGAAAGGGAGATAAATGGGGGAGAACAAAAAAGAGAGGGACAGCTAACAAAAAAGAAAG